CCAGCTGTCTGGCCCAGGGTATCCCCATGCATGCAGGGAAACATGGCAGGCAGATGCGCTGGGTGGCAGTGGCTCGTGGAACAGTCACTCACACCCAGGCGCTGCATCCACGTGGAGAGAGTTTATTATAATAGAGAGATGAATAGAAAGACAGGAAAGAGGGAGACAGGAAGGAAGAGAAGGGTGGGAAAGCGGAGGCGTGCCCACTGTTGGGAATGGAGAGAGAGGGGCAGAAGAGAGGAAGGGAAGGAGAGGTTTTCCTTAAAATGAGGCTTTTAGTCAGAACACAGGGCGGCCCCAAGGGGCGGGTCGGAATACTAACACAGGTTATTCATGAGACCTGTCACTTCTGAGTAAACAATATGGACTTGGGTGGGGGGACAAACAACTACCAAAACCCAAAGATAACAGTATAAAGTTTTTTAAGGCTGGGCAGTGGTGGCCCATGCCTTTAATCCTGGAACTTGGCAAGCAGAGGCAGGCGGATCTCTGTGAGTTCAAGGCCAGCCTGGTCTACAGAGTGAGATCCAGGAAAGGCGCAAAAGCTACACAGAGAAACCCTGTCTCGAAAAAAAACAACAACAACAACAAAAAAGAAACCCTGTCTCAAAGACAAAACAAAAAAGAAAAGGTTTTTTTAATGGATAATAACATGGCTCAAGGTTCTTGGCAAGGTCGGATCCTAGAAGAAAGAATGCACTGGATCTGGCCCTTTCTATCACCTACATTGTATTATTGATTTTGAGTTGTATTTGCTTGTTTATCTTACAGTGTATCTTATTTGTGTATTCTCGATTGGAACCCATATGTCATCCATACAACCTGAGATAGATCTTTTACCTAACTGCTACCACGGGCCATTGACAGGTCTCTTAATGGGGATCCTAATTGCTATCAATATTCAACACCCCTCCTCCATGTGAAGTAGCTTGATTGATCTTTGCTCTAGCCCCTCCCAAAGTCACTCAGGGTCACCTGTCCTGAGGAGGGGTCGAGACAGGAAACAGTGTGGGTCAGGCAGTTAGGGCCCGGCACCCACCACCTGAACACACTGACACTCACAGATGCTCCATGGATCAAAGCCCCTCTGCCTGCAGGTGCTTCATGAGTCAAAGACAGTCCATGGGATGACAGTTCCATAACTATACTATTTCAGGGTGGCTCTAATGCCAGGAAAGAAATAGAGCACCCCATGTGGGAGCAGAAGATAGGCCATTATTTGCTATTGTTTTCTTGGTTCTGGAACTGTTTAAAAGCACATAGCCCTTGTCACCTGAGCAGGGTCCTCTCTTGAAACCCCTCAGAATTCTCTCTGTCTCTGTCTCTCTGTCTCTCTGTCTCTCTCTCTCTCTCTTTCTCTCTCATTGTTGTTGATAATGTTTGAGACAGGATCTCTGTAGCCCAGGCTGTCCTGGAATTGCTATGTAGACCATGCTGGCCTAGAACTCAACCACTCTTTGTTCCAAGTGCTGGGGTTAAAGATGTACTAGTGGCCAGCTTTTCTTCCTTTCTGATTAATGGTGTTGGTCCAAGCGTTCAGCTCTGGAGTTCCCAGGCTTCATTTCTTGTCCTTTGTAGGACACAATCCTGGAGTCACAGCAGCTTGTAACTGCAACCACTGTAGCTCACTATTACAAGTGGATTCAAGTGAATTTACCCCTTTCTCCTGACCCCAAGACAAGGTCATCTTTGGCTACTGAAGGAGTTCAAGGCCTGCCTAATCTAAATCCCTGCCTCAAAAACAAAACAAACAAGCCAGGCGGTGGTGGTGCATGCATGCCTTTAATCCTAGCACTCGGGAGGCAGAGGCAGGTGGATCTCTGAGTTCGAGGCCAGCTTGGTCTGCAAAGTGAGTTTTAAGACAGTAAAGACTAAACAGAGAAATTCTGTCTTGAAACCCCCCCTCAAAAAAAACCCCAACAACAGCCAAAAACCAAGCAAACCTGACTGGTTAGCCTCTCCAGATTGATCAGTTACTTCAGATAAGCAACTATGCTTTGCCATTAATGTCTGGCCTATAACACAGGGGTTCAAAGAGTGTTGAAGAAATGGATGTCCCAGATCACTTGACAATGAGGAATGGCTTTGGAAGAGAGTTTAGTTTTAGTCCCTTGCTCTAACTGCTCTTTTCCATTCAGGTCAGAATGAGCACCTGCAGGAGGTGGCTGGAAGAGGGTGGGGATGTGTCAGAGTTGGCTTTAGCGGGTGAAGGGGCCTTGCTCCTCTGAACACCAGGACAATATTTGGAGGAAAGCATCACATTGGTCTCCTTCCAGTTACTCTCTCAGCTTAGCGGTACAGAACCAGGACCCAGCTGAGCAGAGGAGCAAAGTGATTTAAGATTCCTGCACTGGTCCCCAGCTTGGTCCCTCCAGCGGGACAGCAGGCTGGGCGGCCGCGCAGCGCCCTCTAGTGTCCGGTGGCCGCCCTGCCATCCCGCCGTGACGCCCGCGGGAGATTCCCGCTGGCCGCGGCTGCCGCCCCGCGCGGGTTCCCGGGCTGGGGGCGGCGGATACGGAGGAGGCAGGAGGCGGGACCCAGTGGGAGTGTCTCCGAGAAACTCGCGGCCTTCGGCGGCTTCCCGGCCCGGGAAGTGAGCCCGGGTCGGTGACCACAAACAGGAAGTCGGGCTGTAACAAAGAGCAGAGGGCGGGGAGCCGCAGAGCTCCCGGGCGCCCGGCCGTGGCGGCAGGTGGAGGGCTGACCCCGACGGGCGGGCGGGCGGGCGCACCTGACTCTTTCGCTGCCCAATTCGACCCGGCCCGGGACACCCTGGGACGAGAGGGGCAGTGGGCGCGGCCCCCCTGGGGAAAGGCCACTGGGACCTCCCAGGAGCATCCCTTCCCTGGGAAGGGACAGTCACAGTTCCCTGAGTGAATCACTTCCATCTCCTTCCCGGAATGCAGCAGGTCACACGGGGCGGAGGGCTGGGCCCACAGATGGTGCAGACCCACGGGGAGGCAACACAGGCAGAGAAGGGAGCTAACGGGGGGCTCTGTAGGGCCCCCCGGCAGGGGTGTAACACTGTACATGTTGGTTGAGTCCTGTGGCCTCAACTAACTAGCCTGAGTGGAACCGTTGTACCCTCATCTGCCCCTGGACGGGATCCACTGTGGCCTTGCCTGAGCACGCCAATAAAAGCACCGCTGAATTCTTCGCGGCCCCTCCCAACCCAGAGCACAAGGATCTCCAGGTGGTCACCAGCCAACAAGCGCTGGAAAAGCAGCTGTCCTCGGGGCCGAAGGTCACCGGGAGGTCAGACCAATTCTTTAGACAGGACAGTAACTCCAGGCTGCTGAGGAACTTCTAGACTCTGAATTCGCTTTAAAAATACACAAACAAAGATGAGCATTTGCTAGGCTACTGAGAGCACTTAGTAGAGCGGGTGTAGAGCTATAATCTAGTCTTGTTTGAATGCCAAGTCTCCTGGACACTTGAGTGATCAAGAGAGCCTTACCTCTGGGGAGGGGGCTGGTCCCTCAAGGAGAGACCTTCAGGAAATCCTAGGAGAGAAGGATTATAATTTGTTTACACTCCAAGTGAGAACTGGAACCCACTTCTGAGTTGCTAGGGAGAGGGCCTGGCGTGGGCTGCAGGTTGGAGCACCCATAAGCGTACCGCACCAAGTCCTTGCGTGGGCTCCCACTTGTGCCAGGAAGCGGGGGTGATGTGTTGGGTGCTCTCAGCTCCCTGACTAGGGTATCAGAGGTGGTAAATGGGTTGAGCCAGCAACCAGGACCCCTCCAGGGCTCTTCTCTGACCATCTGGCAATGTGTAGCCCAGGCTGGTGGTGTGGACGTGCAGGCTTGCGGGTGTCCTACCTGTCCCCCACATGGGAGCCTCGTCATCTCGCCTTCTGTCCCAGCCCAGTTTCCCCCGCCCCCAAGAGCCTGGGAGCCGCTTTCCTGTTTCATTTTGGGCAGGAAGAGTGAGGTCGTGTTGTTCTTCCCTCGGCTGTGGGCTCAGGCTGTGGGAACGGTTCCCTGAATGCTTTCCTGTTTGATACCCTGTGTGTGCACTAGAGTAACAAAGAATGATGACCAAGCCGCGGAGCATGTGCATGCTCCTGGCACTCAAATAAGCACCCAGATCCTGGGTCACCATGCTGGAGCTGGGGGTGGGGCCAAGTTTGGCTCCGGCAATTGGCCTCCATTAGGAAGGGCGTCTGTTGGGTCTGTTTTGCTTTACTGTGAACAGGCTGAGTGCTGGGGGCATCTCAGCAGCTTTTCCCTCGCTTGGGGTGGTTGTTTTGGTTTTGGTTTTTCATGAGTTGTGAGTTGCTCACCATGGGGTATGTTTGTGGCTGCAGAGAGAGGATAGGCACCCTAGGGACTATCCTGAGCCTTAGAGGAAGCTGGGCATGGAGTAGATTGGAAACCCCCTGATTAGCATCTCAGCCTGGGCAACCCGACTCAGGAAAGCTGATTCTCCCAGTCTCTGTGGCCTCATCCATCCTTTCAGCTGTCAAGAGAGACAAACCCAGGGCAAATCCCCTGCACATCCCCATTCCAGATCAACTCCTCACCAGTACTGAGGAAAGAGCAGGCGCTGGGGTAGGAGGAAGTGCTCAGAGAGGACTTAACTCGTTATCTAATAAGCGAGTCCTTTTGAATAAGTAATGAGAGACTCCTCAACAGGAGCAAATCAAGGCCCCCATGCTTCTTCTCAGGCTTGGGGAAAGGGGAGAGAGATTCCAGCCAGGGAAAATATAGCCCCATGGAATGCTGGGAGAATAAAGTGGGGTAGGGGTACCCAGTCTCAAAGTCCCCAGGCATGGAAGGTTAGCCTAGGCTGGGGATAAGGAGGATGAGGCTAGGATCCCCAAAGACCGGACTGAGACACAGGCCTTCCACACAACATACCAAATCCAAGCATGCACAGGCCCTGGGAGTCCCAGGAGGGCATCCAACAGCAAGTAGAGAAGGGGCTTCCGACTATTTGGGGTAGGAAAGCAGGGAGAAGATTCCCACTCTACCATTACAAAGACAGGACCCAAGAAGTAATAGTTTCCTGTACACATCTGTTCCATATTATAAATACACATTATATACAAAATAATGTTATAAAATGTAGAAAGGTCAGTGCTTCTGATTCTTAAATTATCAAAATACTAGATTCCAAAATAAACTACAAAAAAAAAACACCTCATATTATTGATTTCTGAAGATCGGCTTCAAGGGTGGTCTGGGGCAGCAGTGGGCACTGATGGAACCCAGGCTCAAGGGCACAGAAATGGGCATGGGGGAGGAAAGGGCCTAGGCCACAGCAGCACCCACTATCTCCCCATAACAGCCCTGAGCTCCCCAGTTAGGCCCTAGAACCCCAGTTGGCACAAGGGGCAGGCCCCAAGCCTGTCTGTCCACACAAGCCCAGAGGCACCAGGACCAGTGAGAGGTGAGCTATCTACTTTTGCCCAGAGGGTCTAGGCTAGGTGGCACCCCACATGCTGTGGTTGGAGGCAGGAACCACTTGTCTCACCTCACCCGCTGGGTAGCCCCTGCCAGAAGCCAAACTCCACAGTTTCCCTGACTACGAGAGGCCCGTCCCTTGCAAGCCTCCTTCTCCTCTCCCATTTGGGCCCAGCAGTCATGACGGAACCTGGGCAAAGGCACTTTGGAAACACAGATGCCCATGGAAGCCACAGCAGCTCCGAGACCAACTGGGCCACTGCTACTCTCCGAAAAACAGTCAAGAGCCCCGTGGTGGCCACTGTTGGCAGATGCACCTTGGACATCAGCTCAACGGATGCTCCTCTGGCTCCTCGGCTCTGTTCCCTTGTTGGTAGGGCTGCCCATCTGAGGTCAGGCAGACGCCTGCAGGCCTGCAGGGTGGTGCAACTCTTGGCAGGTTCACAGTCTGTCCAGTCCATGCCGTTCCCTCCTCCTCTTCAGAGCAGCACTGTGCATACTAAAGACGTCCCATCCAGGATGCAATGTAAACAATGCAGAAGGGAGGCCCAGCTGCTGGGCCGAAGCTGGGGTCTGGGTAGGCTCGTGCCTTATACCTGGGGAGCACATACAAGATGGGAAAATGGTTATCCTGGGGATAGGCCCTGTCTCCGGGGATGCTCTGGGCCTCTTTGGGAGAAGTCACTGGGGGAGGGGCAGTCCCCTCAGTCTTCTGCCCTAAGATATACAAGTGTCTGGGCGTTTGCACTAATGTGGGGGTACAAGGGAGGAAGCCAGTGGCAAGGAGCGAGCAGACACAGGCAACTGTCTTCACCCAAAGGCAGCTGGGTAATAGTTCCTGAAAGGTAGCCGGCGCCATGGCTGTCCTTCCTAGCTCTACCCGAGGTTCGCCTGGCTCCTTAACTTTGTCCCTTTCATGGGTGCAGCTGCCGAGTCAGGCATGCCACCTGGTTCCTGTTTCACACCCTCTGTGGTAATGAGACCAGCAGGGGACCCAGGAGCCACCAAACACCAAGGAAGAGGCCTCTGACCCACCCCTCCAGGAGGCTGCTAGTGAGCAGGACATTTCTCCATCCACACAAGGCAGGAGGGGACACGCTGACAGGGGAAGGCCAGCTCAGAACTTACCTCCGTGGCAATGACACATTCGTTCCTCTCTTCTGATATCAAACACACTGACTGGTACATGGAGTCCCTGGGGGAGCATATCGCTGATATTCGACACTCTGGCTTTTCACTGAAGGAACACAAGACAGGCAGGTAAGAATGAGGGAGTGGGGGGTGCCTGGAGATACAATGAGGTGCTGATCTAGATCCCCAAGAGTTAAAGGTTGCCTACTACAGTGGTCCAGAATGGTGCAGGCCGGGGATGCTCAATGCTGGCCTCTGGGGGCAGGTGGTTAGAACAGGCCCCCAAGAGAGCCACGGGACTCAACTGAACCAGAAAGCTCATAGGCCTAGAAAAAGCCAGTATTGCCACTAGAGACAAGCCGTACTGTGGAAACATGGCAGTCACAAGAGATACGCAGTGGACAGCTGGTGTCTGGGAGTGAAGAACGGGTGAGTGAGCGAGCGAGAGGGACTTCCCTAGTAAGAGACCCTTAGAAGAAGCCAGGGTGGGGGCGGTGGTGGCGCACGCCTTTAATCCCAGCACTCGGGAGGCAGAGCCAGGCGGATCTCTGTGAGTTCGAGGCCAGCCTGGGCTACAGAGTGAGTTCCAGGAAAGGCGCAAAGCTACACAGGGAAACCCTGTCTCAAAAAACCAACCCCCCAAAACAAAACAAAACAAAACAAAAAACCCTAGAAGAATTCTTAAAAATTATTAAATTGTTACACTTGTGTGTGTGTGTGTGTACACATGCACGTGAAAGTGTGCATGCCACCGCACCATTGTGGAAGGCAGAGGACGACTTGCAGGAGCTGTTCTCCCCTTCTAACATGGGGATCCTGGGGATCAAACTCGGGTCACCAGTCTTGGCAGCAGGTGCCTGCCTCTACCCTCTGAGCCTTTCATTTTGTTTCTGAGAATGATCTGCTATGTTGCCCAGGTTGGCATCAAACTTGCCATCCTCCTGTCTCAGCCTAAGTTGGGGCTACAAGTGTGTGCCAATGTGCCTGGCTCCCTACAGAGAGGCAACTGGAGAATCTTGCTGTCCGTTCCACAACCCTGCTTGTTTAAAAGCAGCCAGGGCCTGATGCCAGTCTCTCACTCAGCCTGGGAGACCCAGTCCAACTATGGAAGGGTCCACAGCCAAGCCCTGGGCTTCCAAGGACGGCTCACCTGTGTAACCGAAGTGGCACCTTCTCTCCTAAGCTCTTGTCACTGTGAAGATACTTCCCAGGCATGGTCCCCCGCCCCAGGGGCCCTGGAGCCAGATTGTAGTCCAGTGTGTGGTTCTGCAGTTTGCCACAGTTGGACTTGTCCAGGCCACAGTCCACCTCCAGCTCCTTCTTCTGGTTCGTGTTCTTGAGCTGGGCAGCAGGGATTAGATTGTCCTTCTGGAAGTCTGACAAGTTGTTCATGGCCTCCCTGCTGCCATCATCGGGCCGCCGAAGCCGCAGCTGCCGCACAGCTACGGCCACCATGCCCAGCAACACCATCAGTACCACCAGCCCCACACCCAGCGAGACGGCCACCCAGGGGAAGCTGGGTGGCAAGCCCAGGGGAAACTCGCAGAGGCTGCCCACAAAGCCGTAAGGACAGTTGCAGACGAACTTGTCTGAGGAGAGGCCAGTGTAGCAGGTGGCCCCGTTGAAGCAGGGCCCCGAGGCACAAGCATCCTTGGCTATCCGCACCTCACAGCGCCTGCCAGAAAAACCAGCAGGGCAGGTGCATACTGGCCCGTTCTCCAGATCGTGGCAAGTGCCCCCATGGGCACAGGGGCTTCGGGTACAGTCACTGATGTGGAGTTCACAGTGGGTGCCTGTGAATCCCGGTCGGCAGCGGCAGGTACGGCTCGGACCTCTGTTTAGGCACTGGCCCCCTGTAAGGACACAGGACCCAAGTCAGCAATAGCCTTCACATTCACAGGTGAAGGAAATGGGGCCTAATCTATGGGCTTCTACCTCCGTGTGTTCAGACTGCATGGACAGAACCCTTCTACAAAGAGAACTGCACCAAGTCTCCGCTGACCCTGGTTCTCCACGCCTCAGCGGGCTATTGTATAAGTTCCTGGCATCTTACAGAATTCTAGGGTAAGACAGATATGCTTGGCTTGCTCTCTCTAGCAAAGGATCTGATGCCTGTGGCTTTACCTGACTGACCCCTAGCCTCAGTTTCTTCTGCTGTTAAACTTCACAGGTAGCTCTGAGGATCAGGCAGGGAGGACACAAAGGCCAGCACAGACTACATACAGGAAGCAGTCGGGTAGGCGCAATCATCATTTAATTTAATCTTCACAATCTCACCAAAGACACTTAGTTACACCTTCCTGTTCAGGCATGATAAAACTGTGGCTTGAGGGATGAGAGTGTGAACAGATTACATTGCCACCCCCAGGCCCTCAACAGCTCCCAAATGGCTGCCTGCCTGTCTTATACACAGTCACCTGTCGACCAAGTGCATGGAGATTACCAACGTGTTCTGTGTCTCAAAAAGTGCTGATATTCTACATACTTTGTGCCACGCTCATTCTAGGTGAGTATGGGGAAATGTGGGGCCTCAAGGTACAGAGCTCTAACCATCACTGGCCCTTCAGAAGGGATGCGAGGCCTCCAACGTTTTTCTTTCTTTTTATGGTTTTTCAAGACAGGGTTTCTCTGTAGCTTTGGAGCCTGTCCTGGAACTCACTCTGTAGACCAGGCAGGCCTCAAACTCACAGAGATCCACCTGCCTCTGCCTCCTGAGTGCTGGGATTAAAAGCGTGCACCACCACCGCCTGGCCTACATCCTTCTTTCTAACTCAAGGCTTCCTAAGGAGGGCCACTTGGCTACCCTAGTTAGATCAGGGTTCATCCATGGGGATAAGAATGGAAGTCATACAGGATGGGGCACTACCCCTCACCTAAGGCCTGCTGCTGACCTGTTTCTCTTCCAAAGAGCCACCCCCAGTTACGCAAGCTCTTCACCCTCCGAAGCAAAGGAGAGTCCATTTCAGTCAGTCTGCCCAGAGTAGCAGACAGCTCTCTCTCTCTCTTCTCTTGACTCTCTCTCAGGCTCTCTGGCCCCGGGCCCGTTCAGCAGGTTGGTAAAGTGACAGAAAGGACTTACCATTGGCACATGGGTTGTTGGTGCACCTGTCCACTTTCTTCTCACAGTTGGAGCCAGTGAAATTAGGGGGGCATTCACAGGCATAACTGGCCCCCTGGTTGCGCTCCCGGCAGGAGCCCCCGTTGAAGCAGGGTGAGTCAGCACAGGTCAGGGTACTATGTTCACAGTGCTGCCCATAGTATCCTGGGGGACACAGGCAGTGGTAGCCATCCTCCTGGTCCTGGAGAGAGACCATTAACAGGCCACAGTTAGACCCTGGGGATGGGGCAAGGATATATGAGGTTGGCAGTTAGCCTCTGCTCGCCCATCGTGCCTATCCACGGATGCATATCCAAAGACTGTGTGGACGCTACCTGGTTAGACCTCTGCCTCCCTGAGCTGGCTTGGGTCTCACCTTACAGCTGCCGCCATTTCGACAGGGATTGCTGTCACACTTGCTGAGTTCCAGCTCACAGTCCACACCAGTGTAGCCTGGGCGACAGGTGCAGGTGTAGCTCCGATGGCCGCTGTTGGAACACGTCGCTCCATTCTTGCATGGGGAGTGGTGAGTGCAGTAATTGAGATCTGTGGAGACAGGAAGCAACCAGCTGAGTGGGACCAGAAACTCTCCCACCTACATGCAAAGTCAGCCCGTACTTGACCCAAAGAAGAGTCAACGTCTTCCAGGCCCAGGCATCCCCCTTCCTCTGCCAGGGAAATCATGAGTGTTGAAGCACCTTAAACCACATTGAAACTGTACAAATAGAGGAAAGTTGATAACAAAGCACAATTAGTCCGTGTCCCGCTGTGTAAGCTCACACACACGGCCAGCCACAGCAGGATGAAGAGGAGAAGGAGGTGAAGTTAAGGCCCCTCGTCAATGAGGAAGCCATGAAAGGCTTCATGGAGGAGCTGCACGCCCAAAGGACCCAGAAGAAGGAGTAAAATTTCAACACATGGGAAGAGGAGTAGCAGGGAGATGAGAGCCACCACAGGTAGGACCAGGAATGTTCTAAAGGAGGTGTTAAAAGTGTATTTTAGGCCAGGCGGTGGTGGCGCACGCCTTTAATCCCAGCACTCAGGAGGTAGAGCCAGGTGGATCTCTGTGAGTTCGAGGTCAGCCTGGTCTACAGAGCAAGTTCCAGGACAGCCAGGACTAAACAGAGAAACCCTGTCTTGAAAAAAAAAAGTGTATTTTGAATGATAGCTATTTATTTTCTTACTGGAGAAGAACAAGGCGAGAGAGCCAGACAAAGCAAACAGAGGGGCTATGAGGGCTGTTTGCATATAACGAGTATACGACTGTATCGCCTGGGAGCAAATATGGATGGCAGAAAGGGAGAGCAAGGGACCAGGTGTGCGTGCGTGGGGGGGGGGGAACGACAGAAAAATGGGGGACGTTCTGTGTGTCTGTGTGTGTGTGTGTGTGTGTGTGTGTGTGTGTGTGTGAAAGAGAGAGAGAGAGAGAGAGAGAGAGAGAGAGAGAGAGAGAGAGAGAGCATACAAGGACTGAATTCCATGCTGGCAACAAGTCAGGGCCTAGGCAAGCTTTTTCCAGCATGGCACCCCCCCCTCCCCTTTCTTGCCAGGCCTGTGCAGTGTCTCCATGACAACAGGCACAGTCTTGACCCTGAAGAGGAGAGGATACATCTGGTACAGGGATGTAGAATAGGCTCACAGACTCCTATGTAGGCAGAGGAGTAACGACTGTCAAATACCAGGTAGAGCCCAGGCAGCTGCCTGGCAAGTGTCAACGGAGAAAGGCAGGTGGCTGTGCCCACACTAAAAAAGGCAGTTAGATATTCCCTCCACCCAGAGGCCCAGGTTGGCCACAGCCCAGGGCCGCCAGTGGGCACACCCCACCAGACAGCTGTTTAGGGGAGAGCTGCTCAAACAGCCTTGGAAGGTGAGCAAACACTCAGAGGGTTAATCGGTAACTAAAGGCAGAAAGAGGAACAGAGCTCGGCCTCCCTTTCTCTTTGGTCTTGCTAGAATTTATGAGCATGAGCTCCAGGCTGCCAAGCTGTTACCCCTTGGGCCTCTTTCAGTCACCTTGGCTCTTCTGTACCTGGAGGAGAATGTCCTACCACCATCCCATTCTAGGTCAGTTGAAAAGAGCCTTTAAAAGTACCAAGATTGAGCTGGGCTGTAGCTCATAGATAGAGAGCTTGCCTAGCATGTCTGATACCCTGAGGTCCATCCCCAACACCACACACATGTCCTACGATCCATGAACAGTAATAGGGAAGCCAGTTGGTGGTCACCAAGAAAGAGGGTCCAGTCACCATCTCTGGTTTCCACCCCCGCCACCCCATCTCTCCTCCCCTCACTCACCTTGGTCACAGAACAGACCTCCCCAGCCCTCGTCACAGGTACACTGCCAGGGGATGCTGCAGGTGCCATGGCGACAGCCATTGTGGGGGATACATTCATTGCACAGGCGACCCTGCCAACCCGGACGGCAGCTGCGGGACAAGAAGCCGGGCGTAAGGTGGGAGGCCTGGTTACGAGGAAGAGTCCCCCTTCGCCCGCCGGCTTCCTGTCCCCAACTTACAGGCACTCTGCTGGCTTGCTGCAGTAGCCGTTCTGTTCATGACAGCCAGAAAGACAGATAGCTAGGGAAAGGAAACAGGGCTGGATGAAGTTAGGGTACCAAAGCCTCAATCTCCCCTCCTGCTCTCCTGAGCTCACTTCCTACTATTGGCCTCCAAGAGGAGCCATGGTTATCTGAAAGGGAACCAGGGACAAAGGAGTGGGAGAGAACCATGCTGGATGGAATGAAGAATAGGGGTCCACGTGGCCTTATGCCCCCTGAGGAGGAGCTCTGAGTCCTAGGTTACAGCATCCCCAGGTGGTCCTGGGGCCCAGCTAGTAGGCAGCACAGACCTACTTTCACGGGGCGGCGGGGGGGGGGGGGGGCGCGACACATCCCCTCCCTTCCTTTCCAGTGGGGGCCTGGCTGCTTACGCTGATCACAGTATTTCCCCGTCCAACCCGGCAGGCAGGACAGGCTGCCGTCTGGCTGGCACACGTAGTGTCCGAAGAGGTCATTGCGCTTCTTGCACAGGCGGGAACAGTTGTCTCCATAGTAGTTGTCACTGCAGATGACCCGGTAGGAGTAGCGCAGTCTTGTGAGGGTGCTGTTTTGCTCGTCCGACAGCCAGTTCTGACCCACAGCAAGGGAGCCTTGGATGGTGATCTCACCGATGAGTGCATCGGCTGGTAACGCCTCTGCAAGGAGAGGGTCGGGTCAGAGGAAGACGGGCAGCCCGACTCAGAGAGCCAGAGACTGCTGCCCACTGTCTCCTTCACCGTGACCATGGCGGGTCAGTTACCAACCAGACTAGTTATCCCGATAACCCCACCTGCCAGTAAGCACAGGACAGAGGGTCCCAGCGTCTTGCTACTTAGCTTCCCTGGGTGTGTGCATGTGCAGGGGGCTTGATAGCATTCAGAAAGGGTACAATAGACGGATGTTAAGATATCCCAGGGTTGTGGAGGCAGATATGGAGGGGAAAGAGGAAAAGAGGTCAAAATGGAAAAAAAAAATTGAAAGGGGGAAGCTCTCTGATTCGAGATTCGGGAGCAAGGAGTTCTTTGGTGCGGTTTCAGGGGTTCTGCTCCAGAGGTAGGTAATGCTTTTTTTTTTTCTTTTTTCCTTTTCAAAGTGAGAATTGTTGTGCTGGTGAAATATCCTTTTCCTCTGTGTCAGAACAACATCCCAAAGCCATTATTCCCTTTCCAAAGGAGCGGAATTCGCAAAAGGTGTAAAATACAGGAAGGGGCCCGTCAGCGGCGCTGGCAGCCTCGGCCTTTCTCACCGCCGTGCTCCCCGCGTTCCCACGCCAAAAATAACCCGCAGGAAACGCAATTGTGCTCTGAGTCCAGGCAGCAAGCGGAATCCGAGCGTCCAGCGCGGGGCGCAGCTCCGGCCAAGCTAAGCGTCCTGGCCCCCACCCCCAAGCCCGCGTTTCCCCCGCCTATAACAGCTTAACTCTTTCGGCGCCGTGTGATGTCGCCCCCCTGTGGCTGAGGAGAGAGCTACTCACCTGGCCGCAGGTCGTCTCCCGGTGCGTGCCAAGCTTGGATGTTGAGTGAGAAGGTACCCTGGGAGGCAAAAGGGGGTGGGGGTGGGGGAAGAGATAGCGATATGAGCAGGGCAGGAAAGGAGGGGGTGCCTCGCAGCAGCCCGTTTAATTAATCTAATTGCAGGATACAGTTACCGAGCTCGGGTCAACATAACTGGTGTTCGCGCAGGACAGCGCGCGCGAGCTGAGAAGGCAGGGGAGGGAGGGAGGGATGTGGGATGCGAGAGTGTAAGTGAGAGCTGGGAGTGGGCGGGTGGTGCGGCGTTGGGGTATTGGTAATGAAACTCGTGTCCCAAGAACTGGGTGGAAGAAAGACTAGTGAAAGCCCTCTCCGGGGTGGTCTTATGAGAGAAGGGAGGTGTGTGTGGCGGGGGAGCAGGAGAGGAAGAGCCCCCGGGGCTCTCCTGGGGGTGCCCTTTGGAGAGAGGTTCTGGTTTCTGGGCGCTCCTTTTATTTATTTAATTTTTTTTGGCCTTCGGTGGTCTCCCAGGTTGTGCTTACCGGCCAGGTGAAATTGAAGGGCAGTTGAAGAGGGTTGCGACCACCGCCACTATTCTCGTCCCTGACGACGAAGGAGTTGGTGCCCAAAATCGGTGTGGAGACGCTGCCGAAGGTGCAGGGTCCCGGCGAGAAGGTTGCCTGGAAGTGCTTAAGGCAGACGCGGAAGAAAGTCCGGCAGCCGGGCTCGCAGGGCCGCCCATTGGCCAGCACACCGCGCTCGTTGGCGAACTCCTGCAGCCGCAGCTGGAAGATGCCGGAGGCGGCAGCGCGCTGCTGCACGGGGACCGAGAGAAGGAGGGAGGAGAGCGGTCAGGTTCAGCTGGCGCCGGGGCGCAAGCCCGGAGCGCTGCGGGAAGGGGCGGAGAGGGCGCGGGACGTTACCTGCGGCCACAGTACCGCCAGCAGCAGCAGCGCCCAGTGGAAGGCGCTCCGGGATGCAGGCGTCATTCCTTGGGCTGTCCTCGCCACTCGGGGGCTCTGAATTTGCTTCTTCGGGATGTCGCTCTCCAGCGCGTCCGTCTGCCAGCCGAGTTCCTAAAAAGCTGATTCCTCTCGGGGCTCTGCTCCCCGGTCGCCTTCTCGAAAACTCCGCGGCGGCTCGATGCTTCCGTAGGTAGGTATTCCAGGTGAAGGCGACTGGGCGGTGGTCGCTCTAAGTCTGTGTCCTGGAGCTAATCCTAGGGCCTCAAGCGGACTAGTGCCGGGGTACACTGCACCCAAGCGGCTTTGGCTGAGGCCCTTGGCCTCGGGTTCCTGGCCGGCGAGCAGCGCCGCTACTGAAACCTGCTGCCTCCGGAGCCTTTCTTATATATATTGGCTCCTCTTCGCAGCCTGTCAGTCAGACAGACTCATGGTCACTCTCCCCTCCCCTCTAGGCCTCTAGTGGCTACAGTCCCAGCACCCACCGGAGGGGGCCTCCGCCCCCGCCGCTCCCCCTGTCAACTAGCCAGTAGGGCGCAGGTCCCCGCCCCTCTTCCAACCTCTGGGCTCCCAGCTCTGCGCGTGCCCAGGGAGCAGCCCTCAGAGATCGTCTGGTTAAGGGCTGAGACCCTCGCCACCAGAGGATAGGAGGGTAGCCCAGTGATGCAGCGGGAGGTGAGGTGGTTCCGGGATAGTCCTGGGGGTGGAAACGCTAAGGGATCGCCGTAGGCGGTGGATCTGCTCCAGGCATTAGCTTCCTATAGTCCTCCAGCAGGTGGGAAGAACTTAAACCAAGAAAGCGAAAACCAGCGCCAGGGGACTTGGATCGCCCTCTTCGTCCCAGACTGTAGGTAGCTCGTGCCTGGCTGGCCTCCAGCCTAAGAGCACCCACCCACCACGCGTCCCCAGCACCGCAGGGAAGCCGTCGGACGCGTTAACCTTTCCGTGGCCATTCCAGGCAAGGCAAAGGGCCAAGCGTCTAAGACTCGGGTCTTCTCGGCACCTGGTAGGCGTGTCACTCCCCAGCCGCGGGGCGTGCCCAGCGCGTGCCTTCTCTCTTCTGTTCTCCACCCCCACTACCTCCTGGCTCGGGCTAGCGCCGGGACTAGTGGTCGGACAGGGAGGTGGGGGGCGTGGTTCTCGAAATGGGGGGGGGGTGCGTCCTCAGCTGTATGGTAATGAAGTTCTGGCCTCACCCTCAGTGCCTACCTCACCTGGGTCGCACTTGGACTTCCGTCGTCGCCTATTCTGGCCCCGACCTGTGTGTCCCCTAGCTCCGCGAGGGTAGGGAGGAACTTTCCTAACTGCGGGGTTTCCTCGGACCCCTAGAGGGGCAAGGAGAGAGAGCCCGCGGCTGAGCAGGCCCAGCTCTCTCTGCAGAGGGCAGGATGTAGGGTGGAACTGGAGGCGCACCAAGTTGTTTGAGTTTCGGGCGTCTTCACCCACGTCGCACGCGCGCCTCTCCCGGGTGGCCTCTGAGTGCAAACCGTGCAGCTGCTTTCCCAGAACCCGTCGTGCTCCTCGGAGGCCGCAGAGCGAGGAGGGCTGGCTTCTCCCAGTCTCGGGGGTGCTAGAGAACTCTCTCTGGGCTACACTGAGGGCGGTGGGGGCACTGTGGCTTCATCTGTCAGCCCTCCCGCGTGGTGATGGCTGGCTGTCGTCGGACGATAAGATCAGTGCGGGGGGTGGGGTGGGGGGGACGCGGCTCCAGCCCCAGGGAGGCCATGGTAGGGGAAGAGGAGCCCAACAGCTGCCTATGACGAACATGGTCTGATTTTTTGACTTCGGTGGTGCTGATGGAGGATGGGGGGGGTGGGGTGAGGAACATGAGGTTCTGAGCGTGGGGTGGGGGTGGGGTGAGGTGAGGAGACAGGCTCCGGGGTCCCCCACGCACGGCCACCCCTCCCAGCCACCATCTGGCGCGAGCGGGTTGGCGTGGGGAACCGAGGTGGGGCGGGGGCCGGCAGATGGGCCCAGGCTGCACTAGCGAGTTAATGTAGGTTATGGGCAAGCCGAGCCCCAGGCCCGAGGGAGGGGGAGCTCGGGGCGTACCTCCCGGCGGTCCTGGCAAGTGGACTTCCACATCATCTCTCTGCATCCTCTGTGCATCCCTAGATCTTGCCTAGGATGTCAGGGGATGCCCCCGCTCTCTCCCTGGAACTGGCATGCAACCCCACCAGGCTCTATTAGCTCTCCTACCAAAATCCTAGCCTGGGAGTTCATTAACACGTGCTCTCTTTCTGACGCTGGCACTTGCCTAACTCTCAAGGGAGACATCTCCATCCACACAGGGTATCTATTACTCTTGGAAGTACTCCCTCATACACGTTAGTGTGCCAAAATATTAGTCAAGGACCAAACAAAAGTTGGGATCATTGTTCTCCTCAAAAATGGGCAATGTAAGCCATCCACCTAGAAAACTTCTGACTCAGAAAGGAAAGAGTTATATTTTCCTCTTCACTAGAAGCTCCTATTCACAATATTCCTGAGATTTCATACCTGGTCAGGGCACCACTCGGAGCCCTGGGTCCCTGCTAGAGTTCCCATCTGCTGGGATCAATCTTTACCCACATTGCTCGATATGAATGTGTACCGAATGTTTCTCGAGCCCGTCTCTCCCACTCCCTCATTATGAGCAAAAGAACCGACTCTTAAGTGGAAGAAAGGCAACACGGTCCTGGTTACTCAAAGGAATGGAAGGTTGTGAGGCTGTCCATAGGAGACCGGGAGGATAGCAGGTCACTGTGGACCTAGTCCCTAGTCAGGGCCAGCTGACTCTGACCCTGATGTAGACATTCCATAGGTCCCTAAGCCAGACCGACCTGGGTCCCCATAAACTGCAGCCCTTTCTTGAGTCCACAGCTCTTCGACTCCATGGCATCCTCCACATTTCCCAGCTCTGAAGCCCGAGTACTGGGGAAGCCAGGCAAAGCCTTTCTCCCTACACGTTTTCTGCTTCTCCTGTTCCCTCCTCTTGGCCACTGTGCATGCCACTTCTCAGTTTCTCCAGTTATGCAGAACCAACTCCTGAAAGTGAAAAAAAAAAAAAAAAAAACAAAACCGCCCAAGTTTTCTTTCAGCTGGGTCTCCAAACTAGCCACAGGTTATTGGGGTGATGTTTCGGGCCTCCTTCCCCGCTGGAAGCCTGTGAGCGCTCCCCAGAGCCACGGGCGCAGCTCAGAGACCTCCAGGGCGGTGTTAGCCCTCCTCTTGGCCACTACTCTTCCCAAGGGACAGCGGTCTGGACCCGGCACACTGCACCCGGGTAGAGGCGAGGTGGGGTCTGGGCTACTGCGCCCGCAGGACAGGCTGGGGGCGGGGAAGCAGACCTGTCTGGGGCGGGGCGCTTAAGCCTTGAGAGACCCTGCTGCGGTCGCTGCGGAGAAGGGGCCACGTGCTGGGAGCCGCGGCCCGGGAGCTGCACAGAAGGCGGGGAGATTTGCAAACTGTTGCTGCCACATGGCTGCTTCATTCGATCCATTCACATTGAAATGAGGCCGGCGCGTGCCTCATCTGCCGCAGGGCGCTGCCACGCGTCAGGCTGGCCCGCCGCGTGCCAACTGGGGCAGTGGGGCTGGCAGAGCCTGCCAGCCGTGGGGGCGCAGCTCGGGCCCTGAGGCCAGGAGGGGATAGGGAAGGGAATTGAACTGCTCTAGCCACTCAGGCGCCGCAGTTTCTCCGACCTTGGCCCTGCATCTAGGAGTGAACCGACAGAAAGGCCCAGGACGAACGGTTTCAGAGGGGGGCCAGGATCGATGCCGCCGCTCCCCGCAGATGCGCCCGGGCAGCGCTGCTCTCCATCTGCCGCTGCTCGCACCTGCCGGTCAATAAATCGATTTTACAATTTAATGCAGCAGCTTCCCGCCCGCCTCGGACAGATGCCGCCGCAGAAGCACCTCCGCCCTCTCCCCCTCCCCTCGAGGGGAGCCAGCGGTTAGGATCTGGATTCCCGCTCAGCAGGCAGCGCCCCGCAGCGAGGCGCACTTTTCCCTACTGCTCCTTCGAGAAACTGCGAAACTGCATACGTCGAGTTTTTGCCCAGCGTCAGAGTGGAGTCCCTAGAACAGGCCTGAGGCTAAGGGAAGAAAGAGGAAGATGATGATTTAGCATTGGCCTCGAGGACTGGCTGGGGGAGGGGGGGTGGTCTTCGAGGAAGGAACAGGATGCAGGAACTGATGATAAAACCGAAGGGCTGGGAAGAGAAGAGGGGCATGGTATTCTAAGTCACAGTGGGTTCTGATTTGAAGGGGACCGAGCAAGGCTGAGTACTGACGTGGCTTGGGGTCCGGTGAATGAGTATGACTGAGACCTGGCCCTGTGGTCCTGGGCTTGAAACTTAACCACGACTCTACACCTGTTTTTTCATCTGTGCGGTGTGATAATAATGGTAACCTAGGAGAGTAAAGGACTGCTTTCGATTATGCATTTGCAAGACTCAAACAATAATTTAGTTCCTTCCCTTCCCTCTAGGCAACACGAAGACAACCAGAGGCCCCCGGGGGAAGGGAGTGGAGGGCGGTGTACAAATACGTTTCAGAGGCAGAGGAGGAGAAAAGACAGGGACACACTCCTAAGGGAAGAGGCCTGAGGAGCAGAAGGAGGGGTGGGAGAGCGAAGTGTGAGAAGTCAAGAGTTCAGGGCCTTTTGTAGGATGACTGTGATAAAGCTCCTGACTGAACATCCTAGAGAATAGCTGTCCACACTGTGGCCTTCCAGAGAAAACCTTCCCACCCAGGCAGCCCCTCCTGCTGAGGTGGTCTTTCAGAGCAGTGGCCCTCCGGAAGGAGGAGGCATCCCTGAATAGATCTGATCACTGAGGGTGCTGGCCACTCGAGAGGTTCAGCTTTTCTCATGTCCCCAAGAGAACACACCTCCTGGGTACACTGTCCGCTGGCTGATTGCTCTTGCCTGATGACCCATCGTATGGGCAGGATCACTGGGCATGGTGGAGTACTGCTTGGGCGTCTTGTAAGGCCCAGGAAGGCCTCCCATCTCCTCTTCCGTGGCCCCAGGCGTCTAGGGCCTGGAGTAGTTTCATACTGTCTCCTTGGCCTTCCCAGAGCACTCAGATCAAATGGGGCCTGGGACTGAGACAAGTGTTCTTTCTCAATAAGAGCACCAAGGGCCTGCAGAGACAGTAAGCATGAAAGGAGAAGCTAAGGATTCTGGAAGCTTCTTTTTAACTGTTCATGATGAATGGGAAGCTTTCCTCAGGCCTCTTGGGTGCTTAAAAAGATGGGAGGGTAGTGGTAGTGGTGCACACTTTTAATCCCAGCACTCAGGAGGCAGAGGCAGGCAGATCTCTGAGTTGAGAACAGCCAGGTTCACACAGAGAAATCCTGCCTCAAAAAAACGAAAAGGGGGGGGGGAGACAGAAGGAAAGAGAAGGCAGAGCAGGGCACAGACTTGGCAGCTGCAGAACAGAGATAAGCCTGGTGGCCAGGGTCAACTTGATGACCGGGCAGCTGCTTCAGCTACATCTGCCAAACCCAGGAGATGCCTGGAAAGCTGGGGCCAGGAACCACACATCGGGTATTTCCAGCCATAGAGGAGGCTGGGGCTTAAGGCAGCCTCCATGGCAGCTCGCCCAGAGCCCTGGTTTCCCCTTCCCCAGTTCCTTCCTGTCCATACTCTACCAATAAGCAGGGAGAGAAGGGAAGGGAAGGCTCAGGACTACCTTGCCGAGAGACCCCGGGCTCAGCTGGAAGTAGTGGGGCACATCTGTAATCCCAGCACATGGAGGTAGAAGGAGGATTGGGAGTTCAAGGCCATCCGTAATTATGTCTAGTCTTCTGGAGGACCCCAGTTGGGTTGCCAGCACCCACGTCAGGCAGCTCACAGCCATCTGTAACTCCAGATCCAGGAGATCTGACTCCCTCTTCTAACTTTCTCAGGCACCGCACACAGCACACACTCACACAGACACACTTGAAAAATAAAATAGAATCTAGAGTCAGACAGATCTCTGTGAGTTTGAGGCCAGCTTGTTCTGTGCATATAACACGTTCCAGACCACCCAGAGTTATAAAATAAGACCCTGCCTTTAAGCCGGGCAATGGTGGCACACGCCTTTAATCCCAGCACTCGGGAGGCAGAGCCAGGCGGATCTCTGTGAGTTCGACGCCAGCCTGGGCTACAGAGCGAGATCCAGGACAGGCACCAAAACTATACCGAGAAACCCTGTCTCAAAAAAAAAAAAAAAGTCTTTAAAAATCCCAAACCAAAACCACAAGTCAGGCTGGAGGCCTCCTGATGTGTGTTCCTCAGTGTCCAGTCATTGCATGGAAGGACAACTTGGTCTGAAGAATGTGGCAGTGGCAGGGGTGAGGGCAGTTCACTCTCTTAGCCTGGCTTCCTCATCCTGAGGTTGGTCTTTCCAAAGAAGCTGTTTCATCTGCTCATCCCCCACCCTCACCAGGCTGACCCCCACCCTCGCCAGGCTGACCTCCACCCTCGCCAGGCTGACCTCCACCCTTGCCAGGCTGACCTCTGCCCTTACCAGGCTGACCTCCACCCTCACCAGGCTGACCTCCACCCTCACCAGGCTGACCTCCACCCTCGCCAGGCTGACCTCCACCCTCACC